TATATATTAAGCTATAACACTTTTTAATTAGAAAATAAAAAAATCATTTTAAAACAATGCAGCAACAACAACATCAGCAATAAATGTGTTATTATTATTATTAATATCAGCAACAAGATATATATACACACACACATACAAAAAAGTACATATAATAAAATAGAATATTATTGTATTTTGTATTATTATTATTATTATTAAACAATAACAGTAATACAATTTTCCTAACTTCTTTTTATTAGAGTTAGATATAGAATAAAGAATACAGAATCAAATTATATTAAAGTATATATTTTCTTTTATATTTTCATAGTTACCTCTGCTTGCGGAGAAAAAAAAAATGTATTTCCTCAAAGTGATCAAATAAATAAATAAAATGCATAATGTTCTTATCACAATAACCAGCTTTTTATTAGCAGGCCATTTACAAATATGCCGAAAATGCACATTTGCATGCGTTTTACTGATCTAAACCAGCAAAGCCATTGCCTGCAGACATTTAGACAAGATCTTCCTTGTTTTCCCAGAAGTCTCATCTTAATTATAATATTTCAAACTAAGCAGAGCTGAAAAGTGAGAGTTTTGTGGGTGGAAGGATTGAGTGGTGGGGAGGCGGGCGATAGGGTGTAAAGAAAACAACAGCTGAGCCCGGGCATGAAGCACATTGCAGCATGTATTTACATTTGATAAGACTCCCAGCAGGGAGAGATATGACAAGAGACCCAGCATGAAAATAATCATCTCCCATTCAATGCCAAGGGCAGGACGCCAGTCTACCTGATGGACAGGGGCTTATGTCTGTGTACTCACACTCACACACAATGAAGAGCTTGGAGCAGGTAACTGTAGCTACAATACAGGATCACTTATCATGATAATACTACCGAACATAAAGGATTACACAGCCACCATTAGAAAAACACTTACACAAAAGGTAAACAAGGAATTGACAGGAATTAAATTAGACTGAAATCAGATTTTAAAGGAATTATTTGCTGAAAAATGAAACTGTGTCATTATTTAGTCACTATTTTAATTTAATTTCTTTATTTCTTCCATTCTATTTATTTCTTCCCAAAAAAAAGAAGCTCAAACAGGTTTGGAATTACATGAGTTATTGAGGACAGAATGCTAATTTTAAAGCAAACCAGTCACTCATTTCTAATGCTGTAATTTCTCTCTCACATCCACACACACATCTGGTCTTCTGAGAGACATATCTCACATTCTAGATCAGTATTAGTGAGGTTAGACCCTGACTGGAGCCTAGGGCAGCATTAATGTTTATGGTGCCTGATGTTCTCAGAGTCACAGTAGTAACCTGGATGAGTGAGAGCCCAAAGGCACAACCACAGCACATAAATCATCCACTATGAGACGTAAAATAAGGATATTTAGTGGAATTAACACCATAATTACTACACAAAACCCTCGTAGGTCTCTTCAAGCATCTCAATTAAGCCAGGCTTCGATATGTAAGCAAAAACCATCCCACAACTCCTTTGTTTAATAAAATATGTGGTCTCCTATGACAGACGATTATTAGGAATGCAGGCAGATCCGTTTGTGATTTGTGGCCTGATTTTAAACTTCTCAACTCAGGTGCACTGGAGTCCAATTATTATAAATATTCTGTGTGGGACTATTCAAATATTTAAAGATGATCATTTAGATAAATAGTTGAATAGTGCAGGCTGGGAACAGAAAGCTAGCAATATATTGAGAAGGAACCAGATAAGTTAGCCATGCTGAAAGGATTTATGCGTGTTTTCAAATGGAAAATTTCAAAATATGTGCTCATCTGTAATTTAAATCTAAAATGTTCCCTGTCAGATGGTAGAGCAACATTCTGCAGATGTTTTCATTGAAGTTTTTTTGAATTATTATTATTATGATTTTTTATGATTTACATATGGTACATTGATGCTCTGCAGTAATGTGGAAAATTAAACTTTTCCACCACAGGTTATTTTATAATGTATTTATTTGATATATTTTACTACAGTAAAATATAATAAAAAATAAATACAAATTTTACATCACGTTTTTTTATCAAATAAATGTAGTCTTGGTGAGCGAGAAACTTTTGAATGGCAGAATAAATCAAATTTTAAAACATCTTGTTGGATTTTTATGATATATTAAAGGTGAAATAGGGATTTCAATAAAAGAAAATGAAGAGTGGGACTTGATGTTATCCATCTGTAACTGATTGGATACTGAAAATACATACCAAAATGAAGATCAGAAAAAGTAATTTCAGAGGTGGAGCAAGTTAACCCATTTTGTTAAAATAAATTTTTTTTTATATCTTTGAACTAACGTGCACAGAATCATGGACAACGAGACAACACACAAGGTTGTAAACAGGTTGAATTCTGATTACACATTGACTTAAAGACATACATGTACTTGCTGTGGTACAGTAAAATGCACCACCATTAGGATGTTACCATCCATCCACCAATGCCAGAAAGAGAAGTATAAAAAATGAAAAGTGAGAGAGTGAGCAAAGTAAGATGAGGGTTAGACCCCTGGCCTTGGGGCTTGTAGTTGGCCATTGTGTGACTTTATTGGCAGTCAGCTCTGGGTTTTTATGAAGCTCTGGGGATGAATGCAGGAGCCTATCTGCTGATTAGTGATGCACTAAAGAACAGAAAGGGAACAGAAGGATAAATGACTACATGTGTGCCCCCAGCCCGCTAGTCTGACTGTCTCTAAAACTAATGATGATGAGATATGAGTGTGGGGAAAGGACAGAGAATACGAGGGTGGGGGAGGACTTACAGAGACAGAAAATGAGAGAGAAAGAAAACGAGATGCAGAAGATATAACTGACAATGAGAAAGTGAAAAGAGAGAATAATACAAGAGAAGATGGATGATTTAAACAAAACAAAACAAAACTTTATCTATGATATTTGACCATTACTCAGAATGAAAAGGATTGGTTAAATAGTACATTTAATTCAACAAGACCAAAAACAAGGTTGTGAGGAACAGAAATAGCTTACAGTCCATTCAATACGTCAAAGCTAAGAAACATTATTTCTATGAATTTCCAGTGGACAAAAAATGCTTTTAAGAATTAGATGTTCACCTTAAGCAGCAACTGTTTAACTCGAAGGTCTGTCCCATTGTCCAAAAAAATGATTAAATTATTTCTTCAAGCATTTCTGCTGACAAAGCAGAACTTCCAGAACTTTAAAAAAAAGCTATGTTCTAACTTCTTCAATAAAAACAAAAGGTGTTGAGGGAAAATATTTAAAAGAAGAAATATTATTGATCAAAGAATGTATTTTAATTTAAATTAAATTAAGTCATGAAAATTCTGTGAAAACGTTTATGGTACATTTCTGTCATCATTTACTAATTCTCATGCCATTCTAAACTTGTATAACTTCTACAGAACACAAACAAACATATATATATACTGAAAATGTCTTTTAAAAAAAATGGTGCAAGGTTGATGCATTAAAAAAAATATCAGTGGTGTCCAAAATAAAACTGGACCCCATTGACATTTCTTAATGGACTCACCACCAACCTTGCCTTTCAGTCTATAAAAAAAGAACGGTTGAAGCATTCTTTAAAATATCTTATTTTGTGCTTCATAGAAGACAGAAATTCAAGCAAGTTTGGAACAACATGATATCTTTTACAACCTAGTCATCAAATTAAAGGAGTCTATTGTATTAGGACAGCCTACAAGTTTGAAACACTAAAATTACGTATGTATTCATTCATAAATGAATACACAACTGTCTGAGGTTCAAGCAACTGGTAAAGATGACCTGGCACTAATGCTGCAGGTATTGAGGGTGAAGAGCGGGTTGCGTGAAAGTCCCAGGAACAGCTGTTGCTACACACACCCTGTAGTGAAAAGGTGAGCACTGGGTCTTCTCACAGCAGGCCATTAATACAAATTGCATTTACTATACTCTAAAAACCTAAAGACCACATCCAGCGTTAATCCCCATGGACCTCTACACAAACGCACACACACACATATGCCATGGTCAATCTACTCAACAGCACTGCAGCCCAGGAGGGATTCCTAAGCAGGGCCATAATGTAGGCTATAGAGCAGGAGCTCTGAGATCCTCTGGGCCTCTATGGGTGTAATTACAGGAGCAGGAGCATATAGGACGGCGTCAGGTGTGTGTTTGTGTGGAATAAAAGCATTTGGGTTTTGGCTTTCCTTAGCTGCCAGTAAGCAAGAAAAAACTTTAGATTAGGGAACACAATCAACTAGTTGCTTATTAGCAAGCATATTACTAGTATATTGGCTCTTTATTAGTATAAAGCACATATCAATGCCTTATTGTGCATGACAATATTCTAGGTCATTTACCCCTAGCCAATTCCCTAAACATAACAACTACCTTACTTACTATCAATAAATAGCAACTTATGATTTAATTGAGGGAAAAC